GGAAATGTGACATTCTTTTTGGGACTGACCAAAAAGGAAATGTTGCCACATAAAATGAGACGGAGGGAGTACTAAATTAGAGGGATATATTTTATCCTTTTCCTTTCATTTAATTGGCCATTACCAAAATTTATTTCCACTAAACATAGATATAAGCTATTTTCACAATTACTAATCATGAGATAATGTTAGGGACATTTTCTAATCAAACTATGAAAAAGGGGACAGTTTTAGGTTAAATTATTAATGAAAGTTTTTATTTAATTTCTCATAATTTAAAAATATTTTTGACCCTTTCTTTTATCTTGAATTTCAATAAAACTGAGTATGTTCGTACCTATTGTCTCTTTCAAAAGGTCTTCATCTTTTCACTATAAATAATAAGTACTCTCTTATAAATAAATATCAAATATGGCCTATAGGGTATCTGTCCTGCACATATCAATTTGACTTGTCCTATCATGAAATGAATAATATGTATTTTCTTATCAGTATATAAGCAATATCTTTTTTTAAGAAAAGTTTATTTCAAGCCCTTAATTTCGTTTTTCATTTATTAGTTTGCAAACAACTTTCAACTCATTAAGGTAGTTTTTTCGATATTTCTAAAAAAAATTAAAAGCTATTAATATAGGATATGAAAAAAAGTTAAAAGCTATCAATCTAGGATATGAAAGTCTGAACAAGCACAAAGATAACGAACGATGAAATGATGAATTGAGAAGATGAGGTTCAACACTACAATTCCAAAGATGGAAAGGTTTAATTAGGCTTGTAGCTTTAGTAGGATGATCCATCAGCCTTAAACAAGTTCAGCCATTGATTTGGTGATTAGTGGTCTAATTAAATACAAATTCCAGATCCATGTTATTATTTTCCCAATATATTAAGCTGAGTGTCGGCAATATAAAATTTAATAACATTCATTTTGAGTCATTCATCAAACTAGGGACCACAAAAAAAAGGTCTTTATAATTGATTTTCTCTTTTCTAATCTTCTTTTTCTCCCTTTTGATTAATTCTCCAAATTACTAAACAAATGCTTTAAATGTCAGTAGCTGACTCATCAACAAGTGGGAAAGTTTAGATTATTTTATCCAAAAGCTAAAGGAATTCTTATACAGTAACATGGAGAAAGAGTGAAAGCAACACCCTTCAATTATTGAATTCTCTTTTTCTTCCATTCCAAAGAGATTATATTTCATTAATTTATCAGAATTCTCTCATTTCTAGCCACAAAAAATCATTAAACTAATACCTATGAAAACAAGAAATAATATAGTGTAGTTAATAACATTGACTCCAATGACCAAGGTTGTGGTGGAATAGTAAGTACTCTTCCATGATTCTTAATCAGTCTCGGGTACAAACCCTCCAGGTATGGAGTCGTCTTTATTAGGGAGCACTTTACCCAAGGTGGAACCTCTCGAATGAAATTCAAATTTAGTCGTGCTCTAATGTGGATAGCAGACACTAGGTAGGCAAATCATCAGATTCCTTCCTAGCAGCCTGCAAGATTAGACATAGTGAGAAGAACCAGCTATTTATACAAGCAGATTCATTTCACTTACATACTAGCCGCCTATCTTTACTATCCTTTTAAACTCATTTTGTTTCCCACTTCACTTACCTTATCTTCATTATTGCAACAACCAAATGCTACTTGCATTATCCTATAAAGTTATTTGAATCTGTAGTGTGTACTCAACAGAAAGATCTACAATGGAGTTACTTCATCTTCTACTCTTTTCATGGGCCCTTTCTGCTCATCTCTTTTTAGCTATAGCACAAAGATCCACTTACATTGTCCATTTGGACAAATCTTTAATGCCTAATGTCTTTACTGATCACCATCATTGGCATTCTTCTACTATTGATTCCATCAAAGCTTCTGTTCCTTCATCAGTAGACAGATTCCACTCTGCTCCAAAACTTGTTTACTCTTATGACAATGTGTTACATGGATTTAGTGCTGTTTTGTCCAAAGATGAACTGGCAGCTTTGAAGAAGTTACCAGGTTTCATTTCAGCTTACAAGGATAGAACTGTGGAACCTCATACTACTCACACATCTGATTTCCTCAAGCTCAATCCTTCATCTGGGCTATGGCCAGCTTCTGGTTTAGGCCAAGATGTGATTGTTGCTGTTCTTGATTCTGGCATCTGGCCAGAATCTGCGAGTTTTCAAGATGATGGTATGCCTGAAATCCCCAAAAGGTGGAAAGGAATTTGCAAGCCAGGAACGCAGTTTAACGCTTCAATGTGCAACAGAAAACTCATTGGGGCTAATTACTTCAATAAGGGTATTTTGGCTAATGATCCCACTGTGAACATTTCCATGAATTCTGCCAGGGATACTGATGGTCATGGCACACATTGTGCTTCCATTGCTGCTGGGAACTTTGCGAAAGGTGTTTCCCATTTTGGATATGCACCAGGAACAGCTAGAGGGGTTGCTCCACGAGCCAGGCTAGCTGTATACAAGTTTAGCTTTAATGAAGGAACCTTTACTTCAGATTTAATTGCAGCTATGGACCAAGCTGTTGCGGATGGTGTTGACATGATATCCATTTCTTATGGGTACCGTTTCATTCCCTTGTATGAAGATGCTATATCTATTGCTTCTTTTGGAGCTATGATGAAGGGAGTTCTGGTTTCAGCATCAGCTGGAAATCGAGGTCCAGGGATTGGAAGTTTAAACAATGGATCTCCATGGATCTTGTGTGTTGCATCAGGCCACACTGACCGGACATTTGCAGGAACTTTGACTTTGGGCAATGGCTTAAAAATTAGGGGGTGGAGCTTGTTTCCTGCACGAGCCTTTGTCAGGGATTCTCCGGTGATATACAACAAGACTCTATCTGATTGCAGTTCGGAGGAATTGCTATCACAAGTTGAAAATCGTGAAAGCACCATCGTTATATGTGATGATAATGGGGATTTCTCTGATCAAATGCGTATTGTCACTCGAGCAAGACTTGGAGCAGCCATCTTTATTTCTGAGGATCCAGGAGTGTTCAGATCTGCTACATTTCCCAACCCTGGAGTTGTAATTAACAAAAAGGAAGGGAAACAAGTCATCAATTATGTGAAAAATAGCGTCACTCCCACAGCCAGCATCACATTCCAAGAGACGTATCTAGATGCAAAGCCAGCACCAATTGTTGCTGCATCCTCCGCACGAGGCCCCTCCAGAAGTTACTTGGGAATTTCAAAGCCAGACATATTGGCACCAGGGGTGCTGATTCTTGCAGCATATCCACCAAACATATTTGCTACAAGTATTGGGACAAACATACAATTGTCCACTGATTACATTCTTGAATCAGGCACATCCATGGCTGCACCACATGCTGCTGGAATTGCAGCAATGCTAAAAGCCGCACATCCTGAGTGGAGTCCTTCAGCTATTCGCTCTGCCATGATGACAACAGCTGATCCTTTAGACAACACTCGAAAACCTATTAAAGACTCTGACAATAATAAAGCCGCCACACCCCTAGACATGGGAGCAGGGCATGTTGATCCCAACAGAGCTCTTGATCCCGGCCTAGTATATGATGCTACTCCAACAGACTACGTAAATCTCCTATGCTCTCTGAATTTCACAGAAGAGCAATTCAAGACAATTGCCAGATCATCAGCCAACCACAACTGCTCAAATCCATCAGCTGATCTCAATTACCCATCATTCATTGCCTTGTACAGCATTGAGGGAAACTTCACTTTGTTGGAGCAGAAATTCAAGAGGACAGTTACAAATGTTGGTAAAGGTGCAGCTACATATAAAGCCAAGCTAAAAGCTCCCAGGAACTCTACAATTTCAGTGTCACCACAAACATTGGTGTTCAAGAACAAAAATGAGAAGCAAAGCTATACTTTGACAATTCGCTATATAGGTGATGAGGGTCAGAGTAGAAACGTTGGTTCGATCACTTGGGTTGAAGAGAATGATAACCACTCTGTTAGAAGTCCGATAGTAACATCTCCCATTATTGAGGTCTGGTAATAAATTCTGCTACGTTATGGAATGTATTGCATTGGGATGCATAGGGCCATCAGATTCTTGAATTGGAAGTACCAAACACAAGAACAAAGGGAAAGCTAGATGGGAAACCATGTATACTGTATGAATTGTCTGTGCCTATACCAAATTAATAAATAAATTTTTAGTCGGTAGTATTTATTAGTGCACATTTCTCCTTTTTCTTTAACGTTTTCACCTATTATTACATCTAGTACAAGATACACCTTTTTCATTTACTATCAATGCATAAAATATTGTTGCAAATACAGCTCCATCACTTTCCAAGCTCAACTTGAGTACTAATAACCAGCAAAGTCATTCAACTTAATGAAATAATTTTATTGATATAAAACAAAGTTAAATATATTTGCTACTATATAAATTTCCTAAAAAAGCCATGTATAGTATGACAATTATGGCCCCCACTTAAATTTATTTAATTCAACTAGTTAAATATTTGTAGCCTAGCTAGCAATCACATGTTCACACTCATTTGCCAACACATAATAAGCTAAGCTGCATTTCAATATTTGGAGGAAAATAAACTGAATCTCAATCGTGCAGCTCCCCTGTCTCCACCTAAATATCAAAATAAAGAAATTATTTATTTTATTTTAGAGAATTGGAAAAAAAAATTACTTTCTAAGCATTTTTAAGATATTGATAACATAAATTACTATTTTAATATTAATTAAAAAATTAAATTAATTAGTTGAAACTCAAATATTTTTTTGAAAAATAAAAATAAAAAATATGATGCAGTAGATAAGACACTTTCTTTTTAATCAAATCTCGAGTTCGAATTCTGAATATATAAAAATTGTTAGTAGAGTAGGACTCCTATGATGGAAACCGGATAGGAATGGAACGAAAAACCAAAAAAAAAAAAAATCACAAAAATATGTCATACAAAAACTGGAAATTTGACAAAGCAGGTCAGAAAACGAGCATTTCACACTTGTTTTTTCTCTCTCTCTCCATCGCTATCATCTTCCCTTCCTTCACACGTTGATTATGCATACGACAATCGAAAAGTCATGTGGGACTGGTGGTACTGTTTCTCTTTCAACTCCAACAAAGACAACAGCCCTTATTCCCACAATTTGCTCCCAATTCGACATGAAAATCGCCCAACAATTCAAAATCCATCTCCGATTTCCCGTTCCACGATGATTCTCACCTCTTGGCTAAATCGTCGCCGCTTCCGGCGCTACTTCTGTCTCTTTCTCTGCTCTCCTTTTCTTCTTCCTTTGTTTTGTGCTACTTGCCCTATCATTTGTGCTGCTGAAATCTGCTACCGTCTGTGCTATCGCCGCCGCAGCCGATCGCCGTGGAAATCGGAGGAGAGATTCGACGGCGGAGGCGGCGATGGGCGGGGACGGTGTGAGGGAGCGGAAGGTAGTATAGATGAAAGTCAAGAGACAATGTTGTTGCGGAGGTATCTGGATGATCAACTGCTTCTAGTGATTGAATCTGTGTACAATTGTGGAGATGAAGAATATGAAGATGTGGAAGTTGCAGATAATAGAAGCCTTCTTCTGCAATGATAGAAGAAAGTCAGAGGTCTTTGGTTTATCTCTTTTCCTTTTGGTTTTTTGTACATACAAGTCAACATTGATAATTGGGATTCTAAAATCTCGCCAACAAAGTAACCGTTCAGATAGTTAATCGATTGAGTTACTCAGAGTTCTCGAAAATAGAATAGTTATGGAGTTTGTAATCTTCAGTATTTTCACGTCTGGTCGGAGGAAAGGAATAATTTTCCCAATATATCTGAAATTTAATCAAATAGAACGCGAGATATTTATATCAAATCACTCAATTTATTATATGGTTAAGTGAGTTATTAGTCAAGTTTTTATCCCTTTTGGGTTCTTTGTTATTTTTATTGTGATAAGATTGATTTTTGAACTCGGTTGTTGCACTTGTATTTAAGGTTGATTCATATAATTTTTTAAAATGGCATAGATATTAACAATTATAATAATAGTAAAAACGATATACTATGTGTTAAGCATGATATAAAATAAATTGAAGCAAAAAAATACATGTTCATAGATATAGATATTTGTTATGAATTCAATGCATTTGGCCAAACATGTACCTAATTAATATTCGGCTCAACTTTTGTAACATTGTACTAATGTTTAGGTGATTTTTTGTCCAATAAATTAGGATGTTCTTTACTTTTGAAAGATATGATTTGAAGATATTTGAATAAGATATCTCAATATTACATTTTTTGTGTATTGTTTATATTTTTCGTTCTGCTCACATTTTATAATAATGTTCTTACTTCTTATTCTATTTCCTTTTTACTCTATGAGGCAATGTGATTTTTTTATGCTAGAATTTAAAAATTCAAAGAAAATGGAAAAGTTCAGTTTCCCATTTTTCGAATGAGACAAAGTAAGGAAAATGTGACTGCTAACTATTTTTTTGATGTTTTCCAACTGTAGTAACAGGAGGAGTTAAAAAATCTGAACTTATCTTGCTTATGTTATGCCTAGAGTTAATACTAGGATCGACTGTATATAGTGGTAACAAGTGATGCAATCAGAATTTTTACTAATAAAATTTAAAATATAAAAAAGTAATTGTAGAAAATGAAAGAGATTCAATATTTATTATATATATATATACACAAAAATAACAATTTTAACCTTATATATACGGTATAATTTTTTGATAAAATAAGATTAAAAAAAATTCATTTGTGATATGCTAGCTCCAACGTGGTTATTGTATTGTGTACACTAGATAAATTTTCTTTTGTGATGCTTCATTGGTGTGAAGCGTTGGGATGAGAATCAATCAAAGGATAATTGAGTACCTAAGGTCAATAATCCAAGATAATGAGATTGACGAGAATGTTACATCGTATTGGGGTGGGTTAGATGAAATGGAGGTTCACATTTCGTGTTCTGTGCAACATGAATTTGCTTTCAATATTTAAAAGGCAAATTCTACGAAGTGTTAGTGAGATCGACTATTTATATGGGACAAAGTCTTGGTCACTCGAGAGCTCTCATGTCAAGAAGAAGCGTGGAAGACATGAGAATGTCGAGATGGATGTGTGGGCATATCATGAGAGATAAGATTAGGAATGACAATATTCGGAATAAGGTAAGAGTGGATCCCGTAAAGGATAAGACGCGGGAAGTGAGACTAAGATGATTCGAGCAATATTGATAGGAAATGAACATATGTTCCAATGAGGTGTGAAAGGTTAGTTGTAGTAGGCTTGAGGAGGGTAGAGATAGGCCAAGTAAGTATTGGCATGAGTTCATTAGGCAGAATATGACATAACTTCAATATCACCGAGGATATGACCCTTGACAGAGGATGCAGAGGTCGAGAATTACGATTGAAGGTTAGTAGGTAGTCGGACATATTTCTTTTCCATCTTTGGAATACTAGTTGGTATTTTTCTTGTATCTTCTTGTTCTTAAATTTTTATTAATACTTGTTATTTCTTTAGCCTCGATCTATCGGCCTGCCACCAGCCCCGCCCCCTCCCCATTTGGGATCTTGATAAGATGGGCTAGGACCATAGATCATTTTTATGAAAGATTCGAGATCAATCATATAATGATAGGTGTGTGATGCAGCAACTACTCAACCTTCAAATGTTTAGACACATCTGAAAGGAGGATACTCTACTTGTAGTCGGTGGCTGATTCTATGGTTCGAATCTGTGACATAGATCACATGAAGGAGGATAACTTTTACCGTTGCTCCAGTTCCCCTCTTCAACAACTTCAAACTATAAAACTAGTTTAGTGAGTGAACTCCTGAGTCAATTTGTGTCAAACAGATAAAATTCATTCCTCTTATCATATGTTACCCAAACAAGCAAGGAAATTGCTATATTTAACTAGGTCATACAATGGGACCTCAAGTCAAGTAACTACCTCAGCTCAAATTGGAGAGCAAGCAACTTCAGTTGAATGACAAAGCCACACGATTAGCCAACATATGCACTATTCCGCCCACGCCTTAACTGTATTTAGACTTTAGGTATAAGATCTGCACTTGAAAGGAAGGTCATTAACTATAATACATTGCGAACTTTGAACATCACATTGGTAGTCCATTGCAGATTTTGAACAACATTACAGATTAGTCATCCTGAAATGCACTCATAAAATTGCAATTTATCATCTCTATTGTCACAACAATCGTAACCAATCAAAAATGAATCTAGTTCTTAGTCTACAAGATTAGCTCGACTACATACCAACCACTAATAAGAACAGAACTGTTACGTTAAATATGTTACCAAACAAACACGAATTTAGATGTTACAGAGTGAATTATAGCTATATCGTGGGTCAATGCGACCTGTAGTAGGAGTCAAAAGCTGTACCAGTAGATCAAATTGTCGTCACCAAGTGGTAGAGGTTGAATGCGGAAGACTTTGAAAATGTTTAGCTCATTGCGTTGTGACACTCTTGGCAAGATTGCGAGGTTGATCAACATTGTATCCACGCAGTACAGTAAGATGATAGGCCAATAACTGAGACAGACGACAAATACAAGACAATAATTAAGCTTGACTATAAAATCTCAAACAGAAATTAAATAAAAGGAGGAAAGGAAAACTGATGTGCAGCAACTATCAGATTCAGGAAATTTCACAGAATTTACTGAAATCCTGTGAATTCTGCTAAGCCAGTAAATTGATCAACACGCCAAAGTTTTCCTCTATTTCCCAAAATAGGGAAAAGATGGAGGCAAGTGAGAAAAAAAGAAGGTAGGGAGGGGTTTGAACTTCTTTTTTTCTCCAAGGAGTTTGAACTTAGAATAAGATGAAAAATGCAGGTAATGGTATAAGAACTAATGCTAGTCTATCACATTGCATATGGTCTTAAGTGATTCTTGCCCCCTAGCATGCTTTCACAAAGTAGAGTTTAAAAATACTGATTGACATGATATGAAGCAATGACCAAGTAAGAGTGTAAGAGGTAAAGATTGATAGAAATATTGCCAATTAATGGCATTCAATGGTTAATACAGCAGCCAATCTAGTGTGGGAAAACAATACATAAAGTACTTACAGAATAAAAACCAACAACAACAACATACACTGTGTATGCAAACCTTACTCCTACTTTGTGAAGGCAGAGAGGTTGATTCCAAAAGACCCTCAGCTCAAGTAAAAACAATTCAAAGCAAGTTTGAAAAGGATATTCAATATTGAAGAGCTACAGAATAAAAACCATTAAGTGGAAAAGTTATGATCGTGGCACCTTATTTCCCCTCCTGCTATATAATATGTTAAAAAGGGCTTTAGTGTTTATATTGAAGGACCTGATGAATCTCATGTTGAATCTTTCGAGATGTTACCTACCATAACTTTTTCAATTTTTGAGAACCCTAAACAAACTCCTAAAGTGTTACGCGCGCTCACGCACAGTGTCTAGGTGCGTATATAAGAACTGTTGCTCCATTACTTCACAGATCATACCAACTCAAAAGAATTACAAAATATTAAATATTTCAGGTGGATTCCAATTAAATGTATGCTCAATGTTCCACAGTAACGTAAGAGTGCGCACTAGTTTTATTTGAAAACACTGTACACTTACCATTTCTTTTTTTGGCTAAAATAATGATATAGGCAACTGAAAAAAAAAACCCACTTCAAAGTAATCGGAAAGGTCAAAGTTATCTTAGTTTAACGGTACATCTAGATGTACACATATTTGGCTTGCATCTTGAACCAGCTCATTATGGCCATATAGTGAGTGTTCTTTTCATTTTATTCAGTGGTTGAGGCACATAGAGGGTAGTTTTAGAATGATATTTAACAAACTTGCATATTTGTACGTCATTTAAAATAAGATTAATATAGAGTAGCCTACTAAAAGATATCCTAGGAGTGCCATAGATCACAAGTTTTGATTAGTAGATCAAAACTTAGATGCATTAAGGTTTAAAATCATCACCAATCCATCTAAAGCAATAAGAAGTATATGTTAGGAGTCAAATAAACAGAACGACATTGCTTAATTTCCTTATTTGTAAATTTATATATGCTTCACATTGAAAGATGTTTACAACAATTGGCATGCTTCTAGTTTTCAAGTGGTATTCCTGATATATTCTAGGCAACTAAAAGGCCAACGAAAATATGCGGAGTTCATATGCATCTAAAAGAATTATCACAGTTCGTCTACTATCATGTTGGGTAATCCAGTTCATAGATGCAGTCCAAAATTTATCAAAGAGCAGACATATTGGTACACAGAATCCAGATCTGCCCCATCCCTGGTGAGGAAGTAGATTTGTCTAACAATCTACTAACTCTAAGAGACACATGTCAAGCTGTATAATGCCCAGCAGTTTAATTGCCACAGTTACAAAGGAAAAGGGAATTGCAGCTTTATCGTATACTGATTTGTGTGAACCAACACATCTAAAGCTTCAACTATTGGGAATTGGCATAACTAGTTATATATCCTAGGTTTGCAATACATCGATTTCATGCGTGCTTGGATGCTTCAGGTCTAGTGTGTGGAAATATTTCATAGAATGGTGGTGGCATGACCCCAAACAT